TAGCAGCCTCATGTGGCGGAGTAGGACTGCCACCTGGTGTTTTCAGACCACTCTCTCCCCAAGAGTTTCTGTGTGGATTTGAACCACTAACCTTGTAGTTCGAAGCCCAGTGCTTAACTTCTTCTGTACACCAAGACTCCATTTTAAGGTTGAAGAGACATGACATACAAATGGCCAATAAAAACAGAAAGGTGCTCGATGTCATTCGTTGTTGTTAGTTACCATCAACTTGGATTCAACTCATGGCCACCTCATATACAACAGAATGAAACGTTGCCTGGTTCCTCACCATCTGCATGATGTTGCTATGTTCAAATCCACTGGTATATTTTGAATGCCTTACTCCTACAATGTTTGTGTGTGGTCAGTAGGGTTTCCGTTAGCTAATTTTTGCAAGTAGCTCACCAGGCCTTTCTTTCTAGTTTGTCTTTGGAAGCTCTGCAGAAGCCTGCCCACTGTGGGTGACCTGCTCGTATTTGAAATACCAGTAGCATAGTGTCCAGAATCATAGCAACATGCAAGTCACCACAGACAGGTGGTGGCATTTGTAATTGCTATCCGCTGCCTTGAGTAGGTAGGTCCCTGTCTCAGGGCTACCCTGTACACAATTGGATTAGGCCCTGGGTGCCAAACTTGGCTGATCATTGGAATCACCTGGAGATAGAATGAAATTATAGATCTCTGGCCTCTATTTGCAACCTAATGAATCAGAATCTCTAAGGAGAGGAGCCCAGGGATCAGTAAGTAGTTTGATCAGATCCCCAAGTGATTCCAGTGGTCAACCAACTTTGGGAATCTAGGGCTTAGGTCTTGGTCGTCATTGACTGGGTTTGAAAGTAGACCATTAAATCCAAGCTGTGAGATGCCTCTTTATACTAGAATGGCTAAAAATTAGAGAAAGGAAGAATGGAACAAGTTTTGTTGAGGCTATGAAGAAAATGGAGTGTAAAATGGTACAGCCTGTGGAAAAGTTTGCTATTTCTCAAAAAGTTTGACATATGACCCAGCAAGCAGTTCTACTCCTAGTTATATTACACCCAGAAGTTGAAGCAAGCATTTACACAGATACCTGTACACTAAAGTTCATAGCATCAGCATTTACAGTCGCTCAAAGGGGGAAACAATCTTGAGTAACCATCAACAGATGAACAGATAAGCACAATGTGGTCTGTACATATCTGCAGGCCCCTGGTGGTGTAGTGGATTACCACTCGGACTGCTAAGCACAAGGACATCAGTATAAAACTGTAGGGCCAAGCAGAACTACCCTTCAGGTTTCTGAAACAATCTCTAAGGGAGCATCTGCAGTGGGTTTGAACCGCTGACTTTGTAGTGAGCAGCCCAGTGTTTAACCCA